ATAAGAAACCCCAAACTGCATGAAAATCTTGGTGTGGGAAGGAAGATAGACTGAGAAGGAGGGGAGGAGCTGCAGAGGTGTGCGAAAGCAAAGGCAGCTTGTCCTGGTTTTGGCTGGGATAAAGTTCATTTCTTCTTAGTAGCTGATAGAGTGCTGTATTTTGCATTCAGTATGAGAATAATGTTGATAACACACTGCTGGTTTGGTTGTTGCTGAGCAGTGCTAACCCTAGGTCAAGGACTTTTCAGTGTCTCATGCTCTGCCAGTGAGGAGGTGCATGAGAAACTGGGAGGGAGCACGGCTAGGGCAGCTGACCTGAACTTGCCAAAGGGATATTCCATACCATAGAACACCATGTCCAGTATACAAACTGGGGGACTTACCTGGAAGGGATTACTGGTTATGTGGTTCAGGGATGGGGTTTGACACTGGCCAGCAGGTGATGAGGAACTGTGTTGTGCATCACTTGTTTTTCTTGGGTTTAGTTTCTCTTCCCCCACCCCCATGTATTATTATTATTATTATGATGTTACATTTTTTTGAATGGGGAGTCATGACATGAGCCTGAGGGGTTCAACACCACGGGGTGGATGCTGGACACCATGTGGGAGTAGTAGCCAGGGAGTGTCTCCTTACATCCAGATCTGGGGGGGTTCGATCTGGGAAGCTAAATCAAGACTTGCTTAAGCACATTCCTTAACCCTGTGGCCACAACCATGGACATGGCGATGCTGAGGTGCCTCCCTCTTCTGTTTGATCCAGGAGATTTTCTCTGCATGCAAAAAACTTCAAAATCAAAATTTTCTCAAAAATAATAATGATTTGCTGCGGGAGTTTTATTGATAATAATTACTTCCAGATGACCCTATATCCTGTCCCACATTAACAGTCCATTCTTTGGGGGATGTTCAGGGAATTGCCATGTGTTTAACGACATTTGACTTTCCTCTATGAGTTATCCTACATCCATTTTATAAACACAATGCTGAGTTACCTTTAAATTGTTATTTTGGTGCCATATTAAAACAGATCATGCTTCTTCCACCTACATTACATATGTACAAATCAGTAATTCCCATGTCTATGCTTTAAAAAACTCTCTTGAGTAATCCTTCCCTCCCAAATGAGAAGATTAAGCCATAGGGTCCAAATGGGACTTGGTGATATTTTGCTACTTGATCACTTCAAAGTCTCTTTTCACTCCCTCGTAGCTACATGAAGTACCTTTTAGCATGATCAAGGGAGTCTCACTTCTCTTTAATTTCCTGTGTAATGCATTTAAGGGACCCAAATCCTTTAAGTCTAGGACACTTTATCAATTTACAGCTACAAGAACTTCTCCCTTTAGGCATTAGTCTTTTCTGCCCAGAAGGTGCAGTTTTGCAATCACTCCATGCATAAATGTATCCCCAATTACAGGCTTTTAGTCACCTCTTTGTAAAACCACGAGCACTTGTGAAGGTAGTAGAGTGGGAACTCAGATACCAGTGAGTGGACCCAGGTTGTCTGCAAACCACCAGTGTAGCTGTAGGCTGGTGCTGTGACATGAGGTTGTCATGTTAGTGTCTTGGGCAAAGAGGAGAGAGTATAGTACTTCAAAGAGTAATGCTTGTATAACTCTGCTATCATCAGTATTTATCTCAACCTGAAAGTCTGAACACAAGCAGAAAGGCCAGCTGCTACCTTGTACTTCCCTGAAACCTGAATGTGAGTTGGCAGGGCAGCAATGGGGAGAGCATGTTTGTGCCTGAAAGTTCATTGGCTTTTCCAGCTCCCTCTGTATGACTTAGGAAGATATTCTCTCTCCAAATAAAATTCCCCTCTGATACTCTTCATATTAGATTTCCTTGCTGCACCATTGCAAAGGCATGGCCATTACCAGGATCCAAAATGAGAGGAACCAGCTCCCGGTCCCCCTGAAAAGCTTGCACAGAAAGTCTTTCTTTGCTTTGCCATAGCACAAACTAGAAGGGTTCTCTTATAACCAAAAAGCTTATTCCCAACCCATGCAATAAGATTTGGGCAGGCTGATCATCGTGTCAGTTGAATTTATTCAAATTTATTCATGGTGAGATTATTCCAGAGGCAGGGTTTTTTGCGGATTTATCATTTTAACTATTTTTTTTCCTTTTCATCCTTTTCCCGCTAACATTATTGACTTAACAGGCAGAAGAAATACCCCTTTTCAGCTTTCCATATTACCAGCTTCAACAAGCCGAAATCTCAGATTGTTCTTTTCTATGTTTCCTCTTTCTCTTGTTTTACACAGAGCGATCTCAACAGAGAGCAACAGTGACACTAGCACAGCCTTAGCTCTTCGACAAATGCTTCACCAGATACATGTTGGGATCATATTAGTCCCCCTGACCCCACTGGCTGTGGTAGTGTCAGTGAAGAGCTGATGAACATGCTTAAGGCTTTCTTCTCTTCAGATATTTGCAGCTGATTAGCTCCCAATTCATAACAGAATTTCTCATAATTGATGCAACTGTTTATGAGCACACAGTGTGGTACCTTTCTTCACATTTCTGCTATTTGGGTCCTGAAGTTCATCCAGTTCTTTCTATGTGATGCCTCAAACTCTGTTCATTTTTATTGAGCTTATTAAAGTTGCTGAATTTTAGCCCATTTTCATTTCCCTTGCTTGAGTCGAAACTAAAAATTAAGCTTCTAATTATGTACCACCATAACCAACTCAGTCTGAGGAATTAGCGATGTCTATTTGTAAATCCATGCATGTGTTTGTGTGCCTAACCCTCTACCCCCATATTTTATGCATATTCAGAATAAGATGCCATCAAATGTGACAAAAGATTATCTAATGAACCATTCAACTATAAGGCTTATCTAAATTAAACACTGTGTAAAATAAATTACAGTTTGCTAAAGAAAATGAAACATATTTTACCTTTCACTAAAAATTGCATTTACTCCACAAATTAATCATGTTTCTCAAGGTTGATAAATAAACTAAAATCTCAGCTCCTATAAGCACCAGTTTCTGTGTTGGAAGGTAGAGACAGATAGCTTCTACACTAGTTTATTTTTGTCTGTGGAATGTCTCCTGACAAAAGGCAATTGTGCCCACAGCATATGTATATATATATGTGTGTGTGTGTGTGTGTGTGTGTGTGTGTATATGTAGTGCTTTCTGCAATTTCTTTCTTTTGTAGTTGTTCTGTTTCTGTCAAGTATTTCTTAACAGTACATGCCCCTCAGTCTCTGTGAGGGGTAAGGTGAAGTGGCAGGTAGCGTGAGGCCTTGTGGGTTCTTGTCTGAAACATATCTGCACAAATGGTGAATTAAGACTTTCTGAAGGGATGCAGAACTTGGGGCATCTTATCAGCAAGTGTATTCCTTTGTAGAGAGTGCCAAGAGACTATTCTCAGTTAGCTCAGAGTTACCCCAAAGTGCTCATATCTTGACAAATTGTTTGCCAAAATCACTTAGAAAATGTTGTGGGTTTTTAGTTGAGTGATTTTTCCTGTGTTTTTCACAGAGGCCTGTGTTCTGAGAGAGGATTTTCCCAATTTCCTGCATCTTGTAGTGCCAAGAAAATATGAAATCTGAATAGACATAAAGATTTCTGGTATTCAAATGTCAGGGTTTGGACTAAAATAAGTGCCAGATTTACTTTTATTCTGCTTATGTGTCCTTAGAGACTGCTATTAGTAGGGGTCTAGTGCTTGCAATAGCTTATACTCTAGAAGAAGCATATTTTGTAAGTCCACTTCTGTAATGACCTGCATGTGCCTGATTCCCAATAAAACAATTCATATTTAAATGTCTAGGTAACTTGTAGAGTATGGATCTTCATTCATTCATACCTTGCAAGTCTTAGAGATGTGTAAGGATAATTTTATTTATTTTTGTTCTGTGGAACTCAAATCATCCTATATCATCTCAAAAGGTGTAATTATTTTTCCATGAAAGATATCTTTCAAAAAGAGCCCCAAACCTGCAAACAACAAAGTAGTTTTTTTGTTGGTTTTTTTTTTGACTGATCTGCACCTCTTAGCACTGGATCAGCAGTGTGCAGGAGGATGCAACATGTTTCTAAGTAGACTTTGACTTACTGTTCTTTGATGGTTGCAATATAGAATGTTGAATTTTGCTGCCTTGCATTAGTTTTTTTCAAAATAAAATTAAAAAGAGGAGACAAATTTCAAAGGCAAAACCAAGATAAAAGACAAAATATAACTTTACACTCTTAACAACGAATTGAAATCTGGACTTAGAGAATTGAACTTTAAATTACATCAAAAATATCTAAAAGCAAGTTAAATTGCTTTCTTATTTAGATTTTATTTGACATTGACACAGAAGCACACATTTTCTATTCTCCTGAAATAGTGTTAGTTTGAAAAGGATCCTAGTCCTATGCTGTTTGATGTGACCTCTCTAAGGGATGAGTATCTGATTTTTCATCCTTTCTGAGAATCTATAATCATATAGGACTTTATTATCATATGGAATTTTATGTCTTAATAGTCATGCATATAAATAATTCTGGTCGCTGTGGAAATGTCAGAAGGATTTCACAGATGCATCTTGAAGTGTTAAATCTGTTGAAAACCAGAGCTCCTCCTGGGTTGTCATGGACAAACCAGCTGGGTGCCCTCTTCTTGTTGCGTTCAGACTCCCTCTCGGGACAATCAGACCTTGCCACTGACACTTTGCTGCCTCACCTCATAGGTTTGAGGTCTGTCGTAGCAACTCTGACACCATTAAGCAACTAAACAGTCAACAGATGTAGAGCGAGTTGCAGACATGAAATAAGAACAAGAAACCTACTGGAGTCAGGTGAAATTCCCTTAATCTCTCTCCCCAGAGACAAAGGAGAGCTGTGCAAGTGTTTTCCAGACTAATGGAAAAAATCAGCTTTTTCGGTTGCTTTACAACAGAAGATGTGGAGAATATAAAAAGGTAGTAGAATGCCATCTCCTGCACAGTAAGAACGCAGGATAGAAAATAAGATGAATTATTTATTTCTGTATTTAAGCACTTGGAAGGGATGCAGACAAAAGCAGTGTGAGGTCATTTAAACTGAAAGAGTCTCATATGAGGAAAGGCATCACAATCAGGTCCAGAGGAGCAAGGATATTAACAGCATGTAAATGGTACATAATAGAGTAATGAATGAAACAAAAGACTGTTTTTTGAAAGTAAATGAATAATGACTTCATGTAAGTCTAGAGTCCTACATTAATTCATGCATATGCTTAATTTAGATGGGATAATTCCTGTGGTGACCACACAGAATTATGTGTAAATTTTAGTGAGACTGAGTCACATTAAATTTGCAAATTAAATTACTGCTCAGAAATGTTATCTGATTTACAGGTATTAAATCTACAAACTCTATTAATTGTTTGAAAGTAGGTAGCCAGTGTATATGTATCAGATGAAAAAGTTAAATCCCACAATCTATGTTAGTATGAAGCTTAAACCAAGCAGTCCACTTTTGGGAAAGTTACTACGTGCCCTCGGGAAAAAAATCTTGTCTAGTTCTTATATACAGTCTATCCAAGGTGGCTACTGTAAGGGCTGGTGTAGATTCATAGTTTTAATTAAGCAGTTATTAAAATTTAGACATAGAATCTAAGTAACAGAACTTCATGGTAATAAAGAGAGATACCTTATTTATTTTACTGAGAACATAAAGCCCCACAATTTTTATATCTCCTTCTTAGGAAAAAGTATTTTAGTAATATAGGTAATTATAAATAAATTTTATTCAATTCTTGTTTTGCAGGGAACAAACTCATTGCAAAGGATCATAATAATAAAAAAAGGTTTTAAAACTGACTCCATTTAAGTAAGAATAATTTTTTTACTGAGAGGAAACAAATACACTTGCCATACAGCTGGTTAGAGTGTATTATCGCACAAACACTTCAAGCTGCTTTGTGGTAAAAGGAGCACAGGGGTTAATATCATTCCCCCACCCACTTAACCTGCATGAGAAATTTCTCCCTAAACTTGAGAACAGTGTGGTGGGAGGATGCCCTGAGGGCTGGGGGAAGGGGATGCCCAACTGCTTGGGTGCCGTGCAGCAAAGCTTTGCCTGACGGATGGTGTTCTTTGAGCCTCACAATGAGTTTAGAAGACTGGATCATCAACAGCTAATTTTTTCTAAATGTACTTTGAGTTTTATGGTTTCACTTGGGTCTTTTTCCAGCTCTGAGTTTGTGCAAAGATGTGTATGGTTCCTTGCATGATTAAAGTGGCAGGGATGATTTACATAGGGCAGGGGGTAGGGAAATGCTGCTGTGTGGGTGGCGAGATTAATCTGCAATGACAAAGTGCCCTGTATGGCAGCTCCCCATAGGGTCCTGAAAAGACTGTTCAGGGCCTTTGTCACAGAAGCACATAAGGATCTGTGCATGGGATGAACCATGGGGTCTGGGAGGGGCTGGCAAACACTTCCTTAGTAGCCCAGAAATAAATGATTATCCGGATGTGTCATGTGGAGCCCTTCTGGGATCCTGGGGTGCCACTGGTGTGCCAAGGTAGCACAGTAGGGAAATATCGCGCTGGCTGGGGAGAAGAGCTACAGGGATGGTGTGGCTGGCATGAGGTGAGAAGCTAGGCCAGGAGATGTGAGAGGCAGTGACACAACCCTTTATTTCCCTCTTCTCTGGCTATGACTTTGTAAGTGGTTCTGTATGAAAACAGATATAATTATATTGAGTGGCAGGGGTGTGTTCTCATTGGAAAAGTGCCCATGTTTTCATTTTAACTGGGGTCCTTGCTCTGTAATTACTTGTAAACACTCTATAAGTTATATGAGCCAGATGGTACAGTAGATGGCTTTTAGCGACTCCTGGAAAAGAGAGAAGACTCTGACTAGACACCTTTTACTTTTTTTTTTTTTTTTTTTTTTTTGCTGTTGGGAGCATGCATAGATTACAGCTTGCTTTAAACAGAGGGCCAAGATGAAGCCTCAAAACAGAGGCAGACAAAAACCTCGCGCTGAGTTTGGCACTGGCAGTGTGAGATTGCTGAAGCTGCAATGCCGATCCAAAATATATATGCTGTAAGGTGCACGAGAGCAGCAAATTGTAGGCTCTTGCCAGTGTCCATCTGCTTCACAATGACAGGGCTTGTAGGGGACCTCTGTTTTCTTCGGTATGGGTTCCAGCGTGGCTTTGCGAAGCATCGTCTGTGTTAGATGTATTCTGGTTTGGACAGGACCTGCAACTCCTGCCCTCCATCGCTCCTTTCTCGGAAAGTCCCTCCCAGCCTTTGAGTTCTTCTTTCCCTGTAAAAAATAAGGAATGATCAGAATTAAAACGGACAAAAATAGTTAGTCAGTTTACGGACTGTGTTTGTGTTCCCTCCCTTCTTAGGGGGTAATCAGAGTGACAGTAAAGGAGCAATACTCGAAAGGGGGGCAGAGGCGGTTGCTGAAGAAGCAGTAGATGAGGGGATTGATGGCACTGTTCAAGGCTGGCAGGTTCTGAATGATCACGGATGCGTAGAAGCGCTCTTTAGTCTCAGGCAGTATGTTGAAGTTGTCCAGGATATCAAAAAGAAAGTAAGGGCTCCAACAGAGAACAAATGCTGCAGAAGAGAGAGAGAGGAAGAGCTTGACGTTGGATAGCTGAGCAATTTAGGGAGGCAATTACACACTCATGGAGAGACTGTCATAACACATAAATATTTGTTTATGCAAAAACCCCTCTCCCTATTCAGGATCTTATTTAAGAGAATAGTTATTAGATTGTGCTTTTATTTGTCTTTATTTTTATTTTAATGCCTATAAAATATATTATGTGTGCTCCTCTAAGTGTTTAGAATGCTCCCTTTAGACATATTTAGACACTTCAGAACACTACACAACACATAAAGGGTAAATAGGTAGCCAGTTAAAGCATCATCAGTTGTAGTGAAGTGCTCTTTTAATGGTCCCCTGAGTGAGCAGCCAATCTAAATGTACACGCAACCGAAGCGCTGCTCCATGACAGCACTGCCTGTCATAGCCACCTATTAAAAGAAGGCTCTCAGACACCCAGGAGCAAGGAATGACACTCTTTCACACCACATTACAGCAAACCAACATGTCATTCGGCATGCTGGCTGGAGGTGCTGTGTACATGGAATGTGCAGGAAGATTTTCTAATTTCCTTTACTGCCATTTGAGAGATGAATTTGAGGAAGGGAAAAGAAGACTGCATTGCTCATAGCCTCTGGTTTTTTTCCGAGGTGGTAGGGAAAAAAAAGGTCACAGATCTACCTTTATTTGCAACCATGAATGAATCTGTTCTTCACAAATTTTTATATCATCTCTTCTCACAAAGGCTTATGATTCGGGATTTCCATAGAAATGCTGGGACAGGCAGTTCGCTTAACAACCTATAAGTACCTGGGTTGCAAACAATCTGTAAAATCAGACACATGGTCTCTTCCTGGCCCAGATGAGACAGAAGAGTGACCTCATGCCTGTTTCTTGTCGCATTAATCAGTATTTCTTCGCTGGCACTTAGCTGAGTGCTCCTTGAAAGTGCCAGGAAGAGGTAAACTCACCTCCTGTATTGTAGAGTAACCAAACAGGAGCTGTCTATGCACAGATATCCATAAAATAGCAGTACACAGTGCCAGCATGTGGATCATAGCACTAACTGTGCAGAACTTTAAGTTGCCTGTTTGCACATCAAGAGAGGGTCTGTGCCTAATATTACCAAGGTACACTGAAATACTGAGCATCCACGTGAGCTCTTAACACCTGATGGTCTTGCAATAGTAGTTGCATCTGACAAAATCTTTCTCAGAAAAGTTCAGACACAGAGAAGCTGTTCTTGGGCTTATGAAAAGTATGAATCACACCACCCTCTCTCACGTCTGCAGACACTACCTCTACACGGTGAGCTAAGCAACTCAGTAGTGGCTGTTATCACAGTATCCTCCAATCTGAATTTTGCATAGTATTGGAAAGAGAAGCAATCTCTTTTTCAGTGTCAGGGGATGATAGTCAGTCCTCAGGAGTAAACAGCTTTGGTTGCTTTCCTGCATTTCTCTGCAGTTAATCACAAGCCCTGTGTGATGCTGGTTTTATTTATTGAGATAGAATATCAGCCTCCTAATTGCATCAGAATACTGTCATTTCCCTGGGAGACAGAGAACGCCTGCACTGAGTCATCTGTTGCTCAGTCAGGAAAGGAGGGTTCATTCTTTCCATCTTGGCAGGCAACACACCTGTAACATCAAATGCAATCGCTCCACATCTTGCCTCTCCTTCCTCTGCCTTGCACCAGCCCAGCAGCTCACATGCCATACATAGTCTCTAAGCCTAAAAGACAACTCAGTTGCCAAACCTTTCAGCAGTCTGGATGGGACTTTTCCTTTTAGACATTGTCTCTTCTTTACTTTCATAATGCACATGAGGGGCTGTGCATATAATTCCATTTGAGGCTTACGTCAGATGCCTAAAATAGGACTGTATCAGCCAGAGGAGAGAGGAAGGACAGGGTCAGAAGGCAAGTCAGGGATCTAAGTTCCTTCTCTGAGCCACCTACTGCACTTTGTCTGCTGATGATGGAGGTTGCTAGGGAGAAGCAGCTTCCTCATGTCAGCATCCTCCCTAGCTATCAGCTGAGGGGCTTTTCACTTACCAAGGATAATTACAATGCTGTACTTGATCGCTTTCACTTTTGCCCTTGATATGAACCCACGACTGGTGTAGCCAGCAGAGGTTGTGCCACCTGGGAAAAGAACAGTTCAGCTAGTAAGAGAATAGGGCTGGTGTGTGGATGTGTCAGTGTGTACCTTGGCAGGCAGAACAGGAGTACATAGCCCCATCCTTCCCTGGTGTCAGTCAGGAGCTCAGTAGTTCCTGAAATTTGGGCACTTTCAAGTCTGCTCAAGTCGAACCCTTAAAACCTGAGCCACCCAAAATTAAAAAGGTAAATGTAAGCAGAGTAGATCTGTCTGAGGCGTTTTCACATTTATAGTCTTGGGATGGACTGCTCACTCATTTTTTAGCTTTCTGTGGCCAAGAATTTCTGATCTTGAGCAAAATCCAGACTTGCCAAGGACATGTGAAAACAAAGAAAAAGTGTTACCTAGGTATATGCTAGAAAATATTTATTCTGAAAATGGACAAAATTCTAGGAATAGGAATTCTAAGTTCTAGAATAAGTAGTTTTCACTTTTTAATCATTTTCTCACATATTTTTCCTATTGTTTCTCTAAAGAGGATTTAGTGTCAAAGGAAAGAAAGTAAACAATGTAGAAAAGAGTTGTGAATGAACATTTACAGAAACCCCATTTCCACTGCTGTGATGGGGGCCCAACGCAACAGTGCACATCCAGGCATTCCCAGATTTGTGAGAACCAGCTGGAATTGAATCATGAGGTTGGAGTCATGTGCATGCTGAGACTCACCAGGACAGCTGGATAGGATGACAGCCTGAGCTTTGCTCTTCATCCAGATGGTTCGAATCACGATTGAATATATGACACTACAGAAGGGAAAGAGTCATTGGTATTATTAGGCACAGTAAATTTAGCAGGCATCCCGGGTCATTTGTGCTCTATGAATACACGTGTCTATGTGTAAGGAGTTCATTGAGATGATGAAGCTGCATAGGAATAATAATAATAAATGGCAACAATAGTAAATAAGATATGACTCTCACATAGTATTTTTCAGAAGCAGATCTGAAGAGTTTTCACCATGGAAGTCCTTATGATTGTCCTGGCTTTGTAGATGTCAAATCTGAGGCTCAGAGGAAGGCAGTGATTTGGCCAAAATCTCACAGGCAGGAGCTCAGTGGGGATTTTGAGCTAGCCAAAGCCAAATCCGCCTGGGTACCAGCCCCAGGACACTAGCTCTGACATGAGGGAAGCAGGGGGAGGGACCTGGTATTGCTGTATGTACCTTTCTGTTTTGGTGTTACTTTGTGAGTGTGAAGCTAATGAATAAAATGGTACCTTGGGGAATTTGGTAGGGGCGAGATCCACAAGAAATGCAGTTAAATACAGCAGTGCTCAATTTTGGGTCTTAAGGTCCTGTGGTGGAAATCAAGGAGGACAGAAGTATCAGACAGATAATTCAAAAGCAGATCCGCCACAATTTGCATATTTGGAGAGAAATACACACTTTCCATGGGAATAGGTGAAAAGTGCCCTAGTGCACAATGACCTTGGATAGCTATGATCTTTCCCTAAGGCAATAACCAATCTGAACTTCCATTGGTTTAGTATGGAATAGGTAAAAATAATTTCTTCAAGCTGAAGATCTGTTTGAACCCACATCCTCCTTGAGGATGTTACCTTTCAGCAGTTTATATACAAAAGATACGAGGCCTTGCTCTGACTGCCTTTTCTCCTACAAGTGTGCGTAACGTGCAGCTAAAATCACTAAGCAACAGCATACCTGTGACTGCTGTTTTCCTTTTTGGTTTGCTATGGAAGACAAAAAATGATTTAAGAATATTTCAGCTAATGCACTCAGGTTGCCATGTTTTCCTGATTTAAAAAACCAAGCATCATAACAGAAGTCGTCATGTACCATTTGCAATACAACACAGTGCTCTGGAGAATCTGGGGCAGCCTGAGCATTAATTGCCTTAAACCTTAGTGGTCCCTCTGTTAAAAAGTGCAACTAAGAACATTATTTCAGGGTGTTTTATAGAGGCAAAAATGTGTCTTACTGTTATGTGGTTTATTTTCATTGTCAGAAGAGGCATTATTCTTGTTAGACCTTTCAGACTGATATATGAGCCTTTCCTACAGCACCATCAATTGCTAGACACGCTTGCAAAGGTGATATTTGTGCTCAGAAAGCTATTGGAAGTTTGGAGGTTTCCTTTCTGTGGAAGTTTGAGCCATCTGGTTTCCAGACTTAGTAGGTGAGAACTGTAAATTCATTGTGCGGTCTGGGCTGTGCAGTAGAGCCGTAGCATCTTTGCCCAGTGAGGGGTTTGCGTGCAGTTGCTGTGGACTACAACTTGCTCTCCTTAATCCCCTCAAAGGTCCAACTTGGCTCCCAGCTGACTTGAACATTTTTCTTTTATCTCCTGGCTTTTCAAGAGGCTGTTTATTTAACAGCTCATACACTTGAGAGTTTCTTTCTACTTTGTACTGACAATGGTGGAAAATTCCCATATTATTTTTCCTTTGTTCCAATGAATAAGAATGTATTATAATGATAATTGTTGTAATCTCAAAACAATTTCCAGCCAATTCTTAAAAGTCCAGTCCAGTTTCTATTGTCTCCCTAGCCTGCTATCTCTAGCCTGGCCTTTATATTTGTAGTTGAAACAATGTCCCCTCTGATGCAGACTTGCCTCTGTCCAGCAGGACATGTTCAGTGCTGCTTAAGCATCAGGACAAAGAGGTCTAATTCTGCAGACAAAACAGTCAGACTTCCTACTTCCAGCCAAGTGCCACAAGGATTGAATTATAAAGTCAGGCTCCTCGCTTGCTTTCTTTTTGACCCCAGAATGCCTTCCTTCTTGGCTGCAGAGTTTGGTAGGAACATGCCTTTTGCCAGATAGTTATAGCATTTGTCTTCTTCATTGGCATTTCACATATGAGATTACATGTGATTCATTTGTATCCCTAATTTTTAGGACTCCAGTGGAAAGCTGAATTCCTGTTTTAATCCAGAGGTTTATAAGTGCTGCCAACATAGTGGGTTTGTGCTGGTGTTTTTGTCTCTGTTCATCTTTCATATCTCTATACCTGAAACCATTGGAGCCTTCCTTGTCAGGAGTGAACCAGAGGTGGTGTAAGGATGCTCAGGGTGGGTGTCAGGAAAGCCAAGTCACTTGTTATGCTAGGTACTCTTCTGAGTGATGGTTTTGCCATCCACAATTATGCCTTTATGATTTGATCTCTCTGGGACTCCAAAGAGTGCCTAACTCGAACTAGTGCCTAACCAAATTTTTTTCCCCACAGAAATGTTGGCATGGAGCTAAGAAACTGGAGTTTCCAGAAATTTGTCACCTAAACCTTAGGATCATAGAAGGCAACTGCATGTGTGTTTCAAAGCCACAAGAGTAAAACACTTATGGAACAGAAGTTGTGTTTTTCTTACAACAGAAAAACACCTTTTTTTTTTCAGAATGCATTTGTAGCTCCTTTCTTTCTGTAAAAGGCAGCTGAAGGAGGATGTGGAAGTTGGTCAGATCTCAAAGGGTGGGAAGAAATTCCTGCTTGGAAAATGAAATGGCAGATGAGCAAAGAGTAACAGGGAACAGATGATAACTGGTATTCAGAGGGGTGTTTGACAGTGGTCTGCACCATTCTGACCATATTGTAATATCTGTTCCCTTCCTCTGCATGTCAAGCTGCTCAGCCTTCACTATCAAGTGTAAAAGCACATGATGCACATTGCCACAAACCCATTTTTCAACCCATGTAACACATCTGCATGCTGCTTGCTCTTGTCTCCACTGAAAGCACTGGGAGATGTGATGTACAGTTCTTTAGGTCCAGATGTTGTCATGCTTCTTTGTATTTGTAAACACTGAGTGCACTGGTCTTAAAGCCCTCACTGAGGTTTCTTGGGGGCTACAGAAACATGTGCTCTAGTCATTTTAATGCACACTATGATATGAAAATATTATATGAGTTGTTGTGGCCCATTATTTTTAGGTGAAAAACTAATGAAAGAGTACTATTTATCATAGAGTAGTCAAACCTGAATGGAATATTCATCCAAGACATTTTGAAAAGGAACTCTCAGGCTTTGAAGACCACAGAATAAAAAGGACATGCTGTTGATCTGAAAATGTGACAATTTTTCTAGCCCTGATAAAATGCATGTCTTGAGAGGTGGCAGGAAAATACAAGAATATGATTCACATTATGGATATATCTGAAAAAAGGAAATTCTTTGCATCTCCAAAAATGACTTAGCTTGATCCAAATTCTGAAGGACTAAGACCCATTTTCATAATTGCATCTTATTAGTTAATGGTATTGTTTAATAAGCCTCATTGGTAATTACAGCATTCTTTATCCAGGTAAATACGTAACTTACGTTTAGTCATACATGAATAGTCCCACCTCATCTTTATTTTTAATTCATGGATCACTTTTTTGGGAAAATGAACTGTCTTCTGGTGAAGTTGTGTATTGGTATTATCAATCGTAAGAGTTATTGATCTGCCCACTCTTTAAACACAGATTATTTATTTTAAGTAAATAATTGCATTATGACAGTATCCCATCCAGCCTCAGTATTTTCTAGTAAAATGAGCCTTTACCATGGCAAAAGTGCACTTAAGCTCCCTGCTAAATGCTTCTATTTATCATTCAGCATTGCCTATTGTTCCTTATAATTTATTTGTGCAAAGTGATGCAACTGCATTGTTTTATGGTAGCTAATTTACAGTGCTGTTTATCTAAAGAAAAAAGGCATATGTAATCTCATTTGAACAAACCACTGCAGGTATATGTGATGGGTAAATGAAGAGATGGGCAGATATTAGAACATATGTGCAGGATCTATGCTTTCTTATTTAGAAATGGAAATTGCAGGCAAAAATGAATGTGCTCACTGAATCAAGCTCAAAAAATGACCTTTAGTATTATTTTTAATGGTATTTCTAGTTCCTTTATTTGATTTAATTCAGAGAAATACCTTTTATTTAATCTATTTTTTTTATTTCATTACAATGCCTTGGATTTAATGACGTATATTTCCTTTTAGTCAGTTCTGGTTTTTCTCTTCTAATTATTTTTCAGCTGCTCCAAAGCAAATGTTCTCTTTGGAGTTTAGATTTTTAAACAGCAGATGGATATTTTTTCCTCTATGCTTCAAGAGGAAGTTTAGCAATTTTTTTTAAACATGAATTTGCAATTATATTAGATAAATGCCTATGTATTGCATTCATAATATAAAAATATATTTAGCAATCATGAATAACAGCTAAAACCCCTCTGAATTTCTGAATACTCAAGTGCCAGAATATAATTATGTTTTGACAGAGTAGTGATACAGAATAGAAACCCAGTAGCTGTCCTGTCTCCCCATCACAGGATCTGAGGGGCCCAGATGCAACTACTGGCAGGAGAGCAATCTTGACCCATATCTAACCTCTGCTCAGCAATGCTCCAGAAGTTTTCAACTATCACAGATACCATTTGAGCTTTTCTTGGTGTATTTCAGCATAGGAGAAAAGGCTTTGGTTATAGTTGATGACACTTGTCCTCAAAGAGGAGAGAATTAATTACTGCAGGTTCCCTAATTACTTTTTTCTGAATTTTCTGAGGTTTGCTAGGTTGACAATATCAACTGCAGAAGTGGTAGAATAGTGTAAATAAGAGGGAACAGGCCAAATTTTTAAGCACAGTATAGAAATACCTGATGCGGGATCTGTGGCTCTCCCTGTACAACACTGAAATAGTGGGGACAAGGAAAGATTTACATTAAAAGAACAAATATTCTCCCCTTTTTTTCAGCTCTCAGAGATAACCACACACTTGGGTTAAAGATACTAATAACAGGTTTTCATTCTGTTTCCATTATTCAGGTCTTGTTCATTTGTATTATAATCAGATGAAAAAAGTTGCCAAAAAACCACAAGCTGTTTGATAACTGATTGCTGACTTCCCAGTTGTGAAGAAGTGGTAGGAATAGACCTCACAAGTATTTAAATCTTTCAGGCTGTTGCAGTTTTCTTCATAAATTACCTTTTTAAATATATGTTTAAAAACCGCAAAACAAAATAGGGGGACAGAACGTTTTCTTCTGTTTGATGTTTTGGCTTGGAATCTCTGTGCTCACACCACATCTGGGGGTTTAGCTTGTCAGTGGAAGGATTTTCCAGACTGAGCATAAGGTTATCAGCTAAATAATTCATTCCATGGGCTGCAGTGTTATGAATAGCACAACTCCTGTGAGTTAGTTGAAGGCTGTCAGGAACATGTAAAATCAGCTCTACTGAGAGAGCTGAGGGATGGATGAGAGAATCTTAAAAAATGATGGTGTCTGGACTGTAACAAGTGAAAACAGCTTGGCCAAAGCAGTGTATCTAGTGTGGAATTAAGTCCTGCACCTGAAAAGTAAGATTTTATCCTTTTTATGCACTTCAGATGAACAGCACCAGAAAAAAGTGCTGTCATCAGTGAACTGCTTTGCTCTAGAGGTTAGGTTTTCAGCAAATTCAGGCAGCAGAACTAATTAAGAATTAACTCCGCCAGCCAGTGTCCCACATTGCATCAGGCACCTGCCGTGCAGCTAAATCAGAGTGCTTCAGCAGAGAAAATAAAGTAGCTGTGCAAACAATATGAATTTTTGCAGAAAAGATTTTATTTTTTCCCTGTGTGCACCCTGCCTTGCTGCCTCAGTAAGTGTGTCGTGTGCCTTGGCTTCTGGTTTATATGTAGTCACAGCTTTTTAGATACTGATCCTTGACTTTTCAGTTGCACATCTATGGATCTTCTCTCCGTCATTATGTTGTGGCCTTTGTTAGGTAACATTTTTGGCTAAAGAGCATTAAAAAAAAATAAATCACAAAATGCTTTCCTTCATTTACTTAATAAAACCTTTCATTTTTATAATTAATCTCTTGACAGAGTAACACACAACTAGGATGCACGTGATCTCTCTCACCCTTATGAAATAGTGTCTCATTTATCATCAAACCTATTGTGCATCTGAAAGTATTAGGTGGAACAAAACATTTGCAGAGAAAGTGAGTCCCTACAGATATTAACAGCCATTCCTGTTGTTCTTGAGCCACAAACTGCTTACCAGAGTATTTATTTGCTGCAGCCACGTCAGGTGGATTAGCTTTAAACTCCTGGACTGCCAATAATTTTTAACAAAATAGATGTCACACCTTCAGGCTTCATTGACAGATGTTTTACAGATACATCAGCTGGGAAGTTGCAACCTTCACTTTTTTGCTTGAGACTTCAAAAAATGTTCTAAAAAATAGCCATTTCTTTCCAAATTGCATGGCATTTTTTCATAATGTCTCAGCTGACCTTGCCCTGACGATAATCCTCTTTTTCTGTAGTTCTAGACCATCCTCTGTGTTCTGAAGAAAATGGTATCACTGACAACTAGAAATAAATAGGCACCAAAAAATCTTTCCCTGTACCACTCCCCTTCCTTCCTCCCAGTGCCAGACACCACTTAGGACATGTCAAAAATCTGACTTCTGTTGACACAGGAGCATTTGTATTAATATACACTGAAACCAGGGATGTGTCTGGACAGCAACGGGCACTGCACTGCCCCCTGCCTCCAAGGCCAGTGTTTTAGGTTCCTGAGCTGCCATAAACTTCTTGTGTGAAAGTTGCTTAAGGTTAAAGGCACAAAAATTTTAGGATGTTTTATTCATGTCTCAGCTGTCAGGGCAATCTCATGAAATGCCAGTTTCACTGCCTTTCCCTTTCCTTTCATGTCTTCATCACCTTCTTGCTTCTGGGGATTTACTGTAAAGCAAGTCACAGAGCTGATCTGGTTTGAATATCTTCCTTTGGCAGGGAGGAGGGGAGTAGAATGTCAACAGCTCTGAAATATTCGTTGCTCTGTAACTTGTCTTTTCTTGCCAAACAAGTATATATGGCATGCAAAAAGGAGTAGCTGGTCTGTAATAGAAAGCATGCAAATCTGTGTATTTGAGTGGGAAAGAGATGTTTCACACACCTATGGAATGACTGGTAACTGGACAGGCTATGGGTCTTTTTCCTAAAAAATTTAAATGCTGGCTAGAATTTCTTGATTGCTAGCTACTTGAGAAAGCTCATAAAAGAATTCCTCTAATAGTAACAACCATCCTCAAAGTTTTCTAGTGCCATTTCTTTCCACTCTTAAATTGCTTTTTGCCTGTTCAGTGTATGTTTATTTTTTTTGCTGCTAGTGCTGGGCTGAAGATCTACCCAAATTTTTATTTACATATTCCCAAGAATATTTTTTTGGTTTATATAAAACTAGGCTTCTTTAAGAGACAGGACAACATACAGAGAAATGATCCTATCTAGGAAGGAAGAGCTATTGGACAACTTGAGAGTAATTTTTCCCTACTGCTATCACATCCTTTCTTTAAGGAGAATTTTCATGATTTTGTTTATTATATCTGTGCAATGTGGCACGAAAATAGAAGGTTTAGCAAACTGACATGTTAAGAGCAAAGTGTTATAATCATCCCTTCTCTCTAGGAAGCAATACCAGTCCATGTTGAATCCATATCAAAAAGTCAGGTGACTTCAAGTACCACATGCTTTTGATTCCATCAAAGATAAACTTGTTTCTATTAAAAGGTGCAGAACTTAATGTCCATGATAAAACAGTAAGAAATTTCAAGGCATTTAACTTTTGTAGCCAGTCTCGTCATCTGCCGGAAAAGGTCAGCACCTCCTTCCACTCCCCACCCTGCTCTCACCCAGGGTGCTAATGAGCAGGAAGCTAACAGAGACTCATGGCTTATCACTTGTTGGAAAAGCAGATGGACTGAGAGATATTTCCAAGGGACATGCAAACGTAATTCCTCTCTTAGAGTCCAAACAGCCTGTCATCAAATTATGTGGGGAAAAAGGAGTCCAGCAAGTCTTCTTTGCTGCTAAAAAGAAGAGATGGACACCAAGAAATCCTAGTAACCTTGCTACTGAAAGACAAAAAAAAAAGGGGAAAGAAAGAAAAGGGCTCAGAGAACAAGCTACTGCCACTGGGAGCCTTTTGAGGAAGTTAAGAAACCTCAATCCCCTTCCACATCAGATTTTGGCTGCTCCTTTGCATTGGTAACTCCTCATGGCTAGATAATTTTTGTTTAACGTCAACTAATGGCAGTGCCCTAGAGGGAGGCAGTAAACTTCACTGATCACTGGGCACAGTCTGGGTTATTGGTTGACCTCAGTTTAAAATAGATTCTGCAGCAAATTGCCTTTGTGATTTGGGGCAAATCAGTCTCAAATATTTGCAGCTTAGGTTTCCCATAACAAAACAGGAAGAATTGTATTTTTCCTATTTTAAAAGTGGTTGGCAACTTCAAATGCTTGGAGGTTTCTTTCCAATCCTGGTGAAGGAATACTTGTCTAAAACTGTGAAGCCTGAGAGCACTTCAATTTAATTTTACTATAATTAGTGTTAAATGTAGTTTCCTGTTCTTCTATTAAAATTATCTTTTGTAATAATAGATAGATATTCATACTGGATTTATGGAGATACCTTTCAAGCCTGAAGCTGTGGAGATAAGTGGACACACTTAGAGATTCATTTCTTTTTTCAGAGAAAATGTTTCTGGCTGTTAATACCACATAGAGAACACCCAGGGCAAGTACAGCGACCCGTGTATTATGTGATAAAAACTGAAGCAGCTATACAGCAGGTATAGAAATGAAATTGTAATGAATGAGTAGAAATTAAGGCATTATGCTGATTGCACACTTGACAGCTTTCACCACATGCTTGCTGATTGCGGTTCAGGCTTACCTGATAATGATCAGAGGAATGAAATACACCAGGAAAGCCACCACTGTCATGTAGGGTATCCAGTAGGAGTCATCAGGCCAGAGAGCCCAGCACTGCACTTCTCCATTGGAGAGCTGCCGTTTCCCAAAAATAATCAGAGTTGGTATGGAAAACAGGAAAGAGAGGCTCCAGGCCACTCCAATAAGCACTTTCGCCTGTCTTTCTGTGCAACAGAGTCAAACAGATAGTGTTAATGGGGTTGTTGGTGAAAGTGAACCCTTGCAGCAGTACTGACAGAGAGGCAGGGAGGAGGAGGAAATCAAGTGAAGAAAGGGAATTTTAGCTTCAGTTGGCTGATGCTGAAAAGACTACGAAGGAAGAAAGGGATTTCATCTCTTTCTCATGACAAATAATCATGTCATTATGGGCTTGTATTTTACAAGTTTTATTTAAGGATGCTTAGGGTCTGTTGAATCTGAAACACTATGAAAAAGGCACTGGTCAGGGTCAGCAACTCAGAAAAATGAAATGTAAGTGGTTCCTCTATGCTACCAAGAGAACCTTGTGAATGGATGTAAAGGACTGCAGGCCTGCCCTACTGCCTGCCTATTGATGCACTTTGAAGTGAGAAAGATTGCAAAACCTTTCATATCAGGAAAAAGAAAATGCCTCAGTTCAGGATCAGAACAGAACTGCACACCCAGCTACCTTTACCTCCAGCTGCAACTTTACAGTCCCACAGAAATGTGGTCCTGAGGAGCATGGGCATCTCCTGCGCTTCTCTATATTGTGGTGGGGGCCAAACCCAGCTCCTGTTGAAGAGCATATGCCCAAGCCATGACAAGAGTGGACTGCTAACCATGAGACATAGCACATAATGGTGCTGAAGTGTTCAACCCTGTTTTATCTGCTACAAGAGACATTGACTAGGAGATCCTTGACCTCATGGTGAAGAACAGGAGCTGAAGGACCCCAGAACACCCAACAGATTTGGGCTACTGCTTCCTCTTGAATTCTGGCCTCCTCCACTGTCAAGTGGGGAAAACAAGTGTGCAACCAAATGATGCCTGGTGGCACACATGGGATTTCGCAAATATCAATGTATCGGAGCAAAAAGTCCCAAGGCTTTCATTTTCACAAATCTACATCTTCTGGCTAAAATCCAGGTAGCTCTAGCCAAAAAGTGTGGGGAAAAAGGGCTGATCTGTGGAATACTAGTGATTTTCAGTGACAGTTAGTCCTCCTCAGTCAGATTGCGAGAGGAACAGATGGGGCAGCTTTTTTGATCTGGGAAGCTTTAGTGTTCAAATACTTTATTGTCCTAAAAAATACTTGAGGTGAAACAGAAAATCACTTTAAATTATGCATATCAAAAAGAATGTCTTTCCTCCTTGAAGCTCAAAGAGCAATACAAAAGCATGTGGGCGAAACATTCAAAAAGTAATTTTATGCTTTATAAAACATCAGTTGCAAATACTCAGTTATCCTGCTCGTTTTTAAATGCTACCCACGTTCAGCAAAATACAGTCTTGCTAATCTAGGGCTTAAGGGAACTCTGATGACATCTGCCTAAGTGAGAGGGTTAGATTAAGTCTATAAATATTGCACAGGAGAAGGAGAACTGTAAAGTTTCCGAAAGCATAACAGAATAAACTCAGCAAAAGGAATATTAAGAATAAATTTTGCAAAATATTTCCTGACAGAAAGGATACTTCAAATGTGAGCTAACAACTTAAACTACATTCATACAAGTCTCAGTGGGGGCCACCTGTGTATTTCTAAGGGAAAAAGATCATACCTGGATAATATGCCTTATTTTATTTGCACTGTATAACAATGACTGTAATTTGGACTGAAGTGGGCAATTTGGGTTGGACAAGAGTGGTTTATATCTTTGTATTTTATAAAACATTGCTAGCAATGTTCATTTATTCTTGTTTTAAAATGTCCCTTGTGTTTGGTAAAATATGGCCTTGCTAGTCTAAAGGGCTTTACAGAGCAGTGATTGCATTCAGGGAAGCAGACTTTTGTTTTATCAGACTAATGTTGATTTGCTGCCTCACAAGCAGGTTTTGGGGTTTTTTTTATGTTGGGGTTTCTTTTAGTAGTTGCTTTAATATGCTCTAAATGCCAGCAAATCATATAACTAGAACTATGTCAGTTATAAGTGGAATAAAAAAAATCAGATTTTGAAATACAATACTATATTCAGCCAGTCTCAGTATTTTCCTTTAAAAAACAACATTGCTCTTTAACTGGAGAGTTTTTCATACTGGATGGTCAAGAGTAACTCCCAGGGTCGGGGCAGGAATCTCAGTTGTGAGCACTGACTCACGTAAAGGATGTTTTCATGTGACTGTCCCCTTTACTCCGCTCCCACTATCCGTGCGCTGTGACAATGGTTTTGCGCACATCTCTGCTCCCAGCAACGTGTGGCCGGGAGGCACCTCTTGAAAGGAACTTTCCTTCCTGCCACCAAGAACGTCAATGCTATGCAATCCTTTGATAAAGTGAGTGCCACTTTAAAAGCAAAAGGTTCTAAATCCAAAGAGAGCAGGCTGTTCCAGAATCTCATTGATCTGACGGACTTTAGCATTGTTTTCAGCCTAAAGCCATGCCAGGAACAGTTTACACCTATTTGGGTATCTTTTAATTAAGCAGTTCTTCTGCCACCTCTTGTTTAGTTTGTATTCTGTTTGCATATACCTTTTCAACATGATGAAATGTCTTCTTCTATAACTTCTCAGTTTCTTTTCCTTTCAGTCTTTATTTTACAATTTTTTATTAATGCTCCTTTTTGCTTACAGAATGAGGTGCCTCACGGTAAAAGTGTTTGGAGTAAAAGGCATACTTCTTTTACATCCTTCACTTTCTGTGGTCATTTATGTATTTGCAAACTATAAAATATTCAACTGTCAAAGTCTGTCTTCTCAAAAACCATGCAAATTTTTTTTAAAAAAATTATTTGGTTGACATTTTCAAAGCTAAACACTTGATTTTTTTCTAAAATCACACTCCAAGGCCACATGGAAACATAATTTTTAAAATCAGTAAGGAGAAACAACTCTTTTGTTTATTGATTGAATGATTGTGAGGGGATGAGTGTTTCATTTTGGAAAGAAATTTGCCACAGGTTGACTCAGAACTGTTCATGAAGTTTCTCTGTGTCATCACCAATGACAAAGTTTTGTAAATCACTTTGTTTTCTATCTGCAGAATAACTAAGAGGGCATTTCAAAAGCCTCCCACATGGCACCTCAGTAAGAAGTAGCTGGGTTGCAAAAAGTGATTATTTTATGTATATTCCAAAAAGTTGCTATCATAAATATATCTCTCTAGATTCTTCTTTTGGATTTACAGATGCCTTCTTTTTCCCTTTGAACATGGTCTTTGCTTGTCCATCAGTGAGTAGCCAACCCTTGCCAGAGTCAGGTGAGTTTTGTCAGTGCTGTTTCCTCTACCCAGAGCTCCACCCAGCTGATGACTCTGGTACCCTTGACTGAGGGCAATGCCTGTTCTTCTCCAGTTTTACAAATAAAAGAAAAAACGTAATGGTATAGGTATAGCAAATATGACTTTTATGAAAATTTGAGGTGAGATTTGAGGTGATTTTGGTGTGGGTTCTTTTTCAATTTCAAAGTGTTTTTCAAAGATTAACCATCAAATTCTTTACTGTGCCCAGGCAGCAATTTAACAAGCGCTACTTTTCCTATACCATGAAGGAGAAACACCAGCAGGTCTGTATCATCTTGCCCCACTCAGCTGGTGGGTTTATGAGCACCTGCCTTCCTGATGCAACATCAGCAGGAGCTGTAGGGCATGCCACACGTACCAAAGCCAGTTGAGAAAACCTTGACATCAATCTCCCCGGTCTAAAAAAGTTCATCTGCATGCTGGAGAATATCAAGCTAAATTTCAGACAAGTATTTGAAGTTTTCAGATCTTAACATCTGCTAAAGCTGCACCACTGCCTTGGCTATGATTGATTCATAGGTTTTTAAGGCCAGAAAGGATCATTAATCTGATCTCCTGAATAGAGCCGTCTGGCAACAGCCATCATTACTCCAAAACAAGAATGATATTTGCATTTGATTAAAGCACATTTTCCAGACCTCGTGGTCCTTGTAACTGTTCTTCTTCCTCCCCATCTGCTAATTCTGTTTATTCACTCTGCAACATACTTAATACCCCACTTAGTCTCTGTAGGAAAGAAATAGTTTTCTTTAAACTGTACTTCTAAGAGGACAGGAGATATTTGAGTGCTGTAAAAAAACCCACAAATCAAACCAAAACAAATAGAAGAAATTATAAGAAACAGTAGGTGTCCAAACTTATATGCTATATCTTTTGAAGTTCTTATTAAACTGTTATATGAATTCTTACTACCATCCTCTCCAGACAAGTTATTTTTTAATGTGTATAAATAGAAAATACAGCTGTTGCAGCTTCTATAGTCAGTATAGTTGTACAAGAGATAACTTTTGCGTATAATTACCTTCTAAAAATGCTGGAAGATAATGAAAACCACTATATATTTTAAAATGTCATTTCATTCTTTGCTAACACAATACTTTTGAACACTGCTAAGGGCTAAGTGGAGTTTAATAAATCTTGAAATCAGAGTTTCTTTGTTATTTGAAAAACTGTAATGGAGTTCAAATGTAGCTACACCAGGAATAAATAATTCATGTCAACAACATTAAGAATTTTGAAAACTAAAAAACTATCCAGTAATATCCATAGCAATAACAAAGCACAGAAATTCTCCTACCTCCTTGCAAGAACTTCATTGGGTAAACTATGGCATGATACCGGTCTATGCTTAGTGACACAAGGACGTAAGTCGAGGCATAGAGAAGGACCACCTGGGGCAGAAGGTGTAACAAGACAGCAGTTGAGAGAAATTTGTTGCAGAAAATTATGTCAGCAAAAACTCTGAACTAGGAATATTTGAAAACTTTTATAGAAAGAAAAAAAAAGAGAAAAAGCAAAAAACCCCCACCTTTTGTATTCACCCAGATATTTTTCCTTTATCTCATCCACAAAATTAAAAATATTTTATATGCTTTGATTAAAGTGTTTCAGCTTTAAATAAAAATTTTCATCATTCAGCACTTTTGAACAATTTTATACAGCATTTTTGTTGGGATTTCCTGCTGTGGTGACACAAAGCACAGCAACTTGGGCATACAGGGGAGCACGAGGTTTCTATACCTGGAAGTAGCGAACGATTCTGCAAACGATATCAGGAGCCATAAAATCTCCAGTGTAGCGCCAAATTATGTCAGTCATTATGTTTATGAGTCCCGTGAATGAATCTGCAAAGAAAATTAACTGAAGAAGCATTAAAAGAAGCAAATAATGACTGCAGGTGAGCCACAGAGGTGTGTATGACCCTTGGGATGTACCAGCTCCCCCACTCCTGAGCGTAGCCAAGCCACAACTAGTCAGCTGAGAATGCTAGAGGAGCTGCAAAAGCTTCCAAAGGTTTGTGTATTTATTTTCTTGCTTTCTTAATTTACCACCAATCCATTCAGGCAGACAGCAAGATTCCTCTAAGCATGGGAGCCCATAGCTGGCTTCTCATGCGCACAGCTTTCCTCTGCCCTCTGGGTTGCAGTTCAGTCTGGCTGTCACTGCAAATAGGTCAGATGAGCTGGGCCCCTAAAGTCCCTTCTCCTCTCCATTGCTTACAAAGAGATGTGAGGTGACCAACACTCCAGCCCTAGGCTGGATGCAGGTCCTGGTCTACACTCACATCTATACCAAAATGACTAAAATTAACTAAGATCGATTCCTCCTCAAATAACAAGTTACCTTTTTTTGTGAGTAGAGGTGCATAAAAATTTCTCTATGGATGTTAATCCCACATATACCTAAACATTTTGGGCTTGTCTGTGAGAGAAATGGAAGGGACAGCCTGATGGGCCTGATCCTGCAGTATGCCAGGTTCACAAAGGGTCACCAGGTTTTCCATGAGGTGTGGATAAAAAATATAGCACTAGAGAAGCTGTAGGTTAGTGTCTAAATGTGTCAACTTGATCCCAGCTGTGCCAAATATTGAACTGCTTAATGTCCTTTTTTTCTGTTATTTCAATAAAAAAGTATCTCTTACAAAAGCACCTGGAGTGATAACCAAATGTTGCTAAAATCAGAGGAAATTTTGTCAGGACTTAATTTGCAAACCTAATTAATTAATGACCAACCCTGTCTTGTCTGCTTAAAGTTAACCTACTTATGCCTGTACTTTTACTTTTGCCAAATTAAATACACCTCAGGCTATTTTTTTTTTTTTTAGAAAATCTAAGGAGATATTCCAGCCTTTGTTGTGCTTATTGAACAAGTGAGTGCTCACAGAGATGCAGGTTTTACAAACAAATTGCAAGAACTGGTGCTCCTGTTGTACATATAGGCAATATTTTAAGTTTTGCCTCTAAAACCAAGTTCTCTCTGTAGGACCAAATTTTCTAAGTCCACGGAAGAAAATGTGCATCAATCCAGTATCCTGCCACTTCAAGTAACATAGCATATTGCTCTTCTTGCACAGATTACCATAAAGGGAAAGAGCAGGTTAGGAAAACATTTTGTGAAATTTATCATGACAAAACCAAGCAATATGAAGAAATAGCTTCAATTTAAAAAAATTTAGGGTGGTGAGGTAAAGTGTTTCATTTTGATATCACCATTTTACATTTGAAAACCATCTCCAAAGTTTAGTGTGATTAGGGTATTCTAACCCCCAAGTCAGAAGATTTTGATTTTAAATTTATGGTTTTGGAAACAAGATATTTCAATAATTAAAAAAATAAATTTTGAGAAGTAAACAGTTTGAGCCAGTACTTCCAAGCAAACAGGCATGGGTTTTTCAAAACAGGTTTCTACTAAGCCCTTTGAAATGACAGAAATTCCAGATACTTCTAGCTGGAAACTGAGATCTCAGCTTAATGCTTCAGAAAAAGCAAGCTGTTTCGCTTCACTGGAAAACCAGGATAATTTTTTCTGTATTAGTAATTCTTTATCTCCTCATTTTTTCTTTCATTTATCTTGTCTTTTCTTCATGGGTGAGTTCAAAATTAAATTAGTGTAACTGTACCTCCCTCCTTATGACTTTATTGTTCAATTAATAGTTGTTTGCTCTTTATTCTCACAGTGTTTCCCAACCCTGTCTTCTCTCTCTTCTCTCTTCCCCTGCCTCCATAGAGAGGCTGGATCAGAGATGACCTCCAGAAGGAAGTTTGTGGTTTGAAGCCTTATGTTAAGTGTTGCTCATTGATTAGAGTGATGGGGCAAGGAATGATTGTTCCTTTGATGAGTATAGTGGCTTTAAGACTTTACTGAAAAGACTGTAGGTTATTAAGGTGGTCTTTGAAAAAAAACACAGAGCGTAAGTTTTTCAAAAAGTGAAATGTATCCTCCAGCAGTGGTTCCAACCCATCCCTTCCCCTTTCCTTACTCCTGAATTATTGATTCATATTTTCTCTCTCTCCAATAGTGAAATATTCATTGGCTCAAAGCAATACACATCAATAGAATTTCACCTCAGGGTATCCTCTGACTTTTCATGGTCTGAGCATCTGCCAAGCAGGTGCTAAATGGGGACTCAGCTTTCCTCCGGAGGGGGAGAGCGGGAGGACTGCCCTCCTTCCTGCCAATCTGAGAGCTCTGGAGAGGAAAGGGAGGGAGAAGGGAAAGTACCTCAGCTATCTGCTCATTTCCCTCTTCTTGTTACCATTTTCCTATATCTTTCCAATGCATCAGGATAGTGCTTTGGAGGTACATCCTGCAGCTGTGGTGGGAGATGGGACAGCGTCCTAGTGCTTTCCTTCATGCAAGCAATTTGGGCAGTTCCAGAAGCTTATGGCCACATCAGCTTTTTAGTTTGTATCAGTACTGTGGTTTTTAACCTGTGAGTGACCCCACTTCTATCTCGTATTGACCTTTTTAGCCACCAACATGCTTGCAACAAACGTGGGTAGAGCCCTTCCCAAATCTTCGTTCGCGAAGCCTAGCCATGATGATGGCCTCCACTTCACTGGCTTATATGATGGAGATCCACAGGGTAATGAACCTTCGCTTCAGCTGTTGCTCAACCCAAAGATATTCTCCAGAATCCCACACCATGTATCTGCTAGCCAGTGCTCAGGCTGAGGGACCATAGAGGGGTATACTCAGCTGAAGCAGACCACTCTCCACAAATGCACAGAGTGAATATCAGCTCCATCCTTTTCATGCTACAGGTCTCTTCCTGCTGCATAGCATTACCTACAAATATATCTATAGCCTTAAGTACTTCAGAAGGTTTAAAGACAACTCTAAATTGTCTTTCCCTTGAGATCCATTGAGTGAGGTTTTTCAGGTGACTGCAGAGGTTTTTAAACTAGTTTTAAACTTCACAGCCTCAGCTCCTCTCCCCCAGCAGTACCTTTTAAGAGTTCTTTGTGCTGAGGTTCAGAATTGCTGCAAAGGGCTCAGCATGTTCCTCTGAGCATGTGCCCTGAGCGCAAAACACACGTGCATGCCAAAGCCAATGTAGACAGCTGTGAGTGTGTGCCAAGTTTAGCCAGATTTCTCAATGCCCTTTAATTAAAGAAATATTCTTCCACTCAGCGTCCTCATGCCTTCTCAGGTTTTAGAAATCCCTCTTGTCTTTTTAATCCTAAAAGTACCAGACCAACTTTTCTCACTTCTCCAGTCTTCTGCTGCCTGCTCCAGAGGGTGTTTCTTATCCTATCTCTGCAAAGCCAAAGCACTAGACTCTCTCACTATGACACAACTGCACACCTTTAGAGGATTTGTCCTGCAGACACATATTACTTTATATAGGGCCACCAAGTAAATAATGTGCCTTGTGCAGGTGATCAGACAGTATACAGGAACATTATATCTAATTTGAATTGCTGTAATAAAGGTTAGTGTGTGTAAGTCACCTGGTTTCAGCAATGAATTCTCAGCAGATCAATGCATGTCACTGGATGACATCATTGACATCCTAAGTGGTGAATGTCAGGTACAGAAAACTAAGAGAGCTGGTACATTGCTCTAAACCTCGATGTCCTCATACTGTAGGTATCCTCACCACTCCTTACTAAGCTGGTGGTTTGCATATTAGATATTTGCGTTCTTTCACTGATGACTGTTTGTGGGCCAAACGACACGAAGATCATTTCTGAAAACTGTGCTAATCAACCTTCACTCATAACTGTGTGCAAGCTTGTCATTGCAACTGCTTCTTAATACTCTTCTGGGTGTTTTTACTAAGAAGTGGCGTGTGTAGCATGATTCTGTGTAATCATTGCTAGGCAACAGTGTGGTTATAGGCTCATTTATTTACTCAGGAAAATTGGTAGAAAATCAGTTAATGAAATACATTCTCTTTTGATACAAAATAAAGATAAGAGCAAGTGCTAATTCGTGACTTTTAAGCCAAATGTAAATTCACAGAAGGATACAGATGAAATGATACCTTGTTGAAGAAAAGACATGGCACTAGTGTGATAGAGATGGTAATAGTTTGCTCTTGATGGGAAGTGGAGTTTATATAAACTAATGTAAAAGAAAAATTCCATGAGATTTCAATAGTAAGGAAAAATAGAGGAAGGCAGGGAGGACAAATGGCTTTGCTTGGGCAGAGGGAGGGAGAAACAGCCTATTGGGATTTGCACAACTGGACAAGTTTGCAACTCTTCTTCCTCCTCCCTGCCACCACCATGGCCACAGCCACTCCTCAAAAGCAGAACTGGTTTCTGCCTTTACAAACCTGTCAGGATTTCAAAATGCAACATTTTAAAACAGCATTTATCATAAAGGCCAAGAAAATGTTCCCAGAGGAGACTGAAAGACACTGAATATAGTGCTACAGCATCTATTGTTGGGAAATATGTCAGGTACTGAAACAACCTGTGAAAATCCTCAGCTCTAAAGACAACATAACCCAAGTTTCCATCATGGTCAGCAAAATCTCTTTGGATTTTTTACGGGGAAGACTGAGCGTATGCATTGCCTCTATGTATATGAGCCCAGGAACTGCTTGGTTCAGGAGGTGATTGCAGTAGCTCGGGTGGTGGGTGCTGCCTCGTAGGACTGAGGAGCTCAAAAATATAAAAAAGAAAACACTGCCCTTGCAGGGACAAATCTGAATGCAGGCTTGCTGTTGCTATGAGTGAAACAAATTTTTATGTCAAAAATCCCTCCACAGAGATAGAAATCCGTTATAGAAAACAAATGGAGGTAATTAGCAATCTGGCATGGGAATACAGACAGGTTAAAACTGTCTCAGTTAATATGTTCATAGAAATTCATTGCCAAAGGGATGTGCCTT